GCAGCGGCTGCTGCAAAACAAACAGCAGCAACAGCAACAACAACAACAACAACAACGCAGAGTAGCAAACACCGCAAACCAAAAGAGTGTGCTCTAATATGAGCTATTGAAATCGGGTCAGACGATCAACGGGGACCTCTACCAAAAACAATTGATTCTTTTGGAAAAAAGCTTTCGCGGAAAACCGACCGGGATATGCGACGATTCAATAATTTTTCATCATGACAACGCTTGGCCACATTTTGTAAGGCCAGTTAAAAACTATTTGGAAAACTGTTCCACCTCACCCGCCTTATAGCCCAGACATAGCAACTTTCGATTATCACTTGTTCAGATCAATGCAGAATGCCCTTACCGGAGTACGCTTTACTTCAAAACAGGGTATTAGAAGTTGGCTCGATTCTCCCATAATATTTACGTTCATGTATGTATAGACACATATTTATTTGAACATTTTTTAAAATACCGTTCGAATGATTAATCTTTCCATTAACTCAGGCTGATCTAAAACCACAAAAACATGAGTTACCACCTGTTTCAAATTATGAATTGATATTGATGGAATCTTAAAGAGTTTTAAAAACCAATCTGACTTGTAATAAACATATTTTTAGAAAGAATTTGAAAAGTTCATAAAATTTTACGCCCATGTAAGAGGATGTTAAAGAAACTTAAAGTTCCGAATATTTTTGAGAAGGTTCGATACTTCCTTGATATATTTTAAACCTTCAAATATGTCAAATATACAGGCTACGTCCATATGAAGACCATGGTTAAGTTAAGCTTATATTTGAGAAAAATTCACGCTCATTTACATTTTGCAGTTTAAATGAGTTGAATCGACTTTTTATATTAAAAATAATATTTCACAAATTTTCAAAACATTTATACAAATCTTCTGAAATTTCAAAAAAAAAAAAAAAAAAAAAAAACGAGAAGCTATCCACTGTGCTTGGTAGGGAACTATTGACATTCTATGCTGTTAAAAATATTCAGAAATGCTTGCGAATAGCCAATTACAAACTGAGAGATGAATAGAAATTGTTTGTATATAAAATTTCTTGGGGGAATTTCTGATTTTTTCTGACCTTTATTAAATCTATTATTACACATAAAATGTATGCATTTTACTTTAAAGATATTAAAGAGAACAAAATACGGAACTATTAATAGGAGCTTCAGAGGCCGAGAAAAAATAATATTAGAAGTTTTTGTTGATATGCTTGTACTTACATCGGACCAAAACTAAGGTATGAAATTAAAAAAAAAAAATTATCCATTGAACTTCCAATGCTACATCTCTCATGATAAGTCAAAATTAAGCTGCGGCCGATGGCGATTGGTCAACAAAAATGCCACAGATTTTCCTTATATTCGAAATAGATGTTGATAAATGTAAAGGAATTATGTTTGTAAGAAATGATGTACCTAGATGAGGCCCATATTTAAAATATTACAAGAACATAAAGCACAAATTATATAAAGTTAATAACATAAACATTAAATGAGAAAAAATTAAAAAAGAAATTGAAAAACCAGCTAAAAATAAAAATAATAATATTTTTTTTTCAATATTATAAAATATATTAAAACAAAATAATTGAAAACTTTCAAAACTTTGTCCAAAAATTCATAAGTGTACCGAAAAATCTAAAAATTCTATTCAAATGTTTTAGTTCTATAATAAACTCCATTATTACTGTCATCGAAAAAAGTGGGAATAAAAACAATTAAAGCGTGTATATCTGCATCTATAGTAATTCCAGCAATTTCCCGCCCATTTGACTTAGTTTCACTTCACTTTGCCGCTCAATTGTCGCACAAATCGTGCCACTACTGCATTTCCTTCTTACAAAAATGACTATTATTCCTATGCATATACATATGTATGTATGTATGCGGATACGCAAAGACGTTGCCAAGCAATGCGCACAACAATAAATATTTCAACAATTCCGGTAGAATAACAACAACGATGAAAGTAAATATATGAAAACAATCGCTTGTGAGTGGGAGTGTCGTTGAGATTTTGAGATTTATATTGTCTTAGCAATGGGAATTCAGATGCAGTAAGAGCAACGTTGAGAGCAACAAAAGCACAGGAACTTTAGCAGCGGCTGCTGCAAAACAAACAGCAGCAACAGCAACAACAACAACAACAACAACGCAGAGTAGCAAACACCGCAATGAGGTGTGACATTGTCAACAAAATGTCATTCACGCGTACTACAATAACAAAACAAAAAAAACAACATGAACAACAAAAATCAACACCAACAACAATGACACAACAAAAGATAAATGTGTAGAGGTTTTTGTAACAACTTTGTAAATGGGAAGTAAAAGCAAATAGTTTTGGATGCAAGCAAATTTTATGTAGGTGGTGTGTATGTATGTGTACATGTATTAGAAGGTTGAAGAACTCAGAAGAAGGGAAATGTTAGGAATTCTTCATGACATATGGACACAAGTATATAAATTTTCACCTTTATACAAACTTTAGTGCTGCAAAAGCAGTTCTCTAGCACTCAACAAGGTAATTATACTTCAAAGTGAAATAATAATCATTAGCACAATCGGAAGGAATGTTACATACAATTGCCCTGCAGTCAGATGAACTAGCTAAATTTGAAACTAGTGTTGCCAAACACACCCAACTAACCGAGGCCTTTTTTGCAGTAGAAGCAGTTTATTTTGAAGCGGCGATATACTCGTACCATAGACACCAATGCTTAGGTGTATACTAGTTTTACACTAGACTTTGAACCAAAAAAAATCAGTGAACATTATATTTTTGAACTTATTATTACACAGATTTATAAAATTAATATGAACATATTTAAAAGAAACGAGAGCTCATTGATTAATTTAAATCTAGTCTGGTATTTCAAGAAATTTGCAAAACGAGCTAAAATCCGACATTGATTAATAAATTTTATACTCGGCATCATTTTTGGTATTTTTCAAAACCTAATACAATTTTTAATTGTGTTTACGGCCACCATACCATATTAATTTTGTGTCATAAGTTTTTTTTAGTGAGCTGAAGGCCTGGTTTTATTATATGAATCAAATATTTTAGTTATATAACAAAAAAAAAGGAAAAAAAAAGTAGTAGAAGTGACAACTGTTTCGGAGACCACCACATCTTCTCATTAGAGTTCTTATGGCAAGGATCGAACCAATGGACACTGACTTAAGAGTCGAGTGCTCTACCACTGCGCCAAAATCAGCCATGTAATCTCTTGTTGTATTATTCAACAACACCAATTTTAGTCGGAACATAGTAATAGAAAACTCGTACTTTTTCCACTCATTTTAATATTTTACTTCTGGTTTGGTATCCACATACATTTTTTGATAAAAATCAAAATATCCATTGCTCTATTGTGCTTTGTACACGCAAAAAAAAACTCATCAATATTGAATGGAGGTAGAAATTCCGTATGTGAATAAAACATAAAAGAAATAGCGTAGTATGATTTTCACAGAATTGGTCCCATGCGACATTACAAAATTATTTGCATTTCTTAACAATAACAAAAAATGTAAATTTCTTCTCTTTTTATCACAATAATATTTTTTATTAGTCTATCTCTGGGCATTATAATTTTAGCTTCATTTAAGGAAAAAATAAATTTTTACGTACTGATTTTTAGTTTAAATGTTTTGTATCCCACACCACACAATTAAAACTTAAATTTTAGTGCTTCATGAAGATTTTTATTTATCAGGAGTACAACTTTGCTTCCGCCGTTTTCCGATAGGTGGCTGTACCGGCTGAGGCTGGTTGAAATACATAGATGATAATGCCTTTAAAGTGAGTGTGGAAAGTGCCTAACGAATTGTTATCGCCGTTTCAATGACAGTTGTTCTTGTTTTCGTATTATTCACGCTCGAAAATGTCCGTTTATGTGCCTAATTCTCGCCATTTGCGGGAAGTTTTACTTTTCTGTTACAATTCGAAAAAAAATGCAGCTGAAGCGCATCGAATGCTCTCAGAAACTTACGGTGATGCTGCTCTTAGTGAAAGAACGTGACGGGAGTGGTTTCAACGTTTTAAAAATGGTGATTTCGATGTCGAAGACAAACAAGGTTATGATTTGTATTTGATGGGATCAGCTCGGTGTGATTTACTACGAGCTCTTAAAACCGGGTGAAACCATCACAGGAGATCGCTACCGAACGCAACTGTTGCGCCTTAGTCGCGCGCTAAAAAAAAAGCGGCCACAATATCAAGAGCGACATGACAACGTCATTCTCCAACACGACAATGCTCGGCCTCACGTCGCAAAAGTGGTCACAAAATACCTGGAAACACTGAAATGGGAAGTCTTGCCCCATGCGCCGTATTCCCCAGATGTCGCCTTTTCTGACTTCCACCTATTCCGTTCGATGGCACACGGCCTGGCAGATAAACATTTTCAAACCTTCGAAGAATTGGAAAAATGAATTGCTTCACGGATAGCGTCAAATGAGGACTCCTTTTTTCGAGCCGGGTTTCGAAAATTGCCGGAAAAAAGGGAGTAAGTTGTCGCTAGCGAAGGACAATACTTTGAATATTATAACTGTAAGCACTTTTTCGCAATAAAGCTTTTAATTTTGGAAAAAAAACGGCGGAACCAAAGTTGTACACCTGATAACTAATTTTTTTTATTTCCTATTTAGCGACCAATATGGTTTAACCTTGGAGCCAGATTTTTTTTTTTGAATAACCAGTATGAAAATTTATAGAACAAATAGCCAATCTAAGTGCTTATCTTTATCTCAAGTTTGTCAATGGTAAACATTGCAGCGGTTAGATTAATTCCGCCTTGACGATTACGTTATCTATTTATAATTGCTTCATAAACTTTTTATCAGAATAGTAGTACTCAGTGATAGTAATAAACAGCTTTTTTTTTTGTTGAACTATTACACAAATTAAGAATAGTATTCAGGTATTTTCATATAAATTCGACACATAAAAAATTAAGCTCCTAAAAGAGGTTTGTACTTACGCTTCGCAATATGGAGATTTGTTGAATCCCTTATATGTTTTCATATTCAATGCCATGCCACATTCTGTGCATTTGAAGCAGGTCTTGTGCCATGTCTGGAAATAAAGAGGAGAATTCATAGAAGAAATTAGTAAAAAAAAAAAACTTTTTTAATCAAATTTCAGAAATTTTTACGTTTTTTAATAATTTTTTTTTTATATATATTTACATAAACAGATACCTAGTAAATATTTGTTATTGACGCTGTAATTCTTCTGAAAAAGTGTGTGAGCAAGTGTAAACAGAAAATCACTAATTGAAAGACAAAACGTATGAAAGCTTTCGTGTTAACTAGCTTTCCTACAAAAAGTCTACTTTAACTAGCTTTCCTATGTACGCTCGTGTTTAGGAGCAAAACATGACGAAACGATTTTCACACAAATACCGCTGGTATTCAGAAAATCATAAACATTTTACATCAAAATGACTACGTAAATATCTAAAAGCACTATTTCATAACAACAAATACAGGTGAAAATCTAAAAGACTTGAGTGTACAAATTTATATAAACTAATGCATAATGGGCAGGCTGTTTGTATGTACAAGTATACATAATATATGTACATATTATATATGGGTAGTTAAATGCAAATGCAGCGAATTCCCCTGTGAACGGCTGCTGACAGCGACTAGTTATGATTATCAAGCAAAATAATTGATACAAATATTTCCAGAGACATTCCAAAGCATTTCAGTAAATATCAGCATATACAATACATATGTGTGTATACATTCATACAATGTAATAGTATGCATACATATATTATTTATTTTTAGTTACACCCAACAAGCATAAAACACGGTGCTTCATTTTTTTATACAGATCAATGCCACGAAAGAAGAGACGAAGCAAGCATCACGTATTCTGCTAGCAGCAACTGTTGTCGGTTACAAGCTTTGCAACAAACACACTAACACTCACACTTTGCGCCAGAAATGAAAATCGTACTATAAAATGTGTTTAAAATAAATTAACATTAGGCATGAAAGAGAAAGTTTCGTTTTTTGTGGGACAGGGTTACTAACAAGTTTCCACAATCTCTTTGCCACTTATTTATTTATTTTCCTTTTAATCTTACGACATTTATATGCAAGTGATTCTAAAAGAAACAAGAGAGAAGACCTGGTATAAATAAGATAACCATATCAAATGTGTAGTAAAAGGCGATTTTTAAGAGCTATGGGAAAGTTTTTCAAAAAACAAAACACATAAAGTTCAGTAAAATGCATGAAATTTTAATTTGAATCGATAATACAATCCAAAAAATTTAATGTTTGAAGATTATTTCATGCCAATGTTCACCGTGCCTGCGCCTCAAATGGTCCATCCACTTAGTCCAATTTCGGCCAATGATGCCACCAGCCCATAAACCGCACCAAACTGTGACTCTTTCCGGATGCATTGGTAGCACTTGCAGTGCTTCTGACTGATCTTCACTCCAAAATCGACATACTGCTTATTTAAGCACCCACAAAGCCACTTTATTTTTTTGAACTCTCTTAACAGAGCACGCATTTTGGCATTTTGATAATAAAATTCAGTGATTTGCAAGCGTTGTTCGTTTGTAAGATGATTCAAGGTTAAATTATAGACCAAACTGAAAATGTTTGACAGTGATACAAAACGCGAAACGTGTGTCAGCTGTTTAAAACAGTGTTGCCAAAAGGTTAGTAACTAAAAAATCACCCTTTATTTCATTTTAGGATTATATATTATATTAATTTTCACATATAAAAAATAAGTGGAAGGTGACCGTAAGATATGGTTTTGCTAATTCAATGTTTTTCGGCATATATTTATTTATATACTACATAGATAGTACAGTGTACAGAATACCAAATTTTACATCTCAGTGAATCAATTATATGGGGGATAAATGATTTAGTCATCCGATTTCGCTGATTTTACCGATTAATGAGTACCGATAATCAATATACATGTGTGCAGATTACAGTATTGCATGTTTTTGGTTGCTTTATTGAAGTATTTATGATACAACATCGCTTATCTCAACATATCAGTTGCACGGGGCTATATGTAGGCCGGTTCCGACAAATGGATCGCTTAATGTAACAGCGCGTATGTGTACCAAGTTTGTTTGAAACAGACGGACGGAACTCGTAATTTTGATCCGATCGGTATAAATTTTGGTGAGTCACACTACTCTTCTCCTTCAGATATTTACATACTTCGCACCAAAGCTTATTCAGGATTAAAACTATGTGTAGATTGCGAAGACAAGATTTAAAACTTATTTTAAATGCTACAATGTTACTTCTAAGCTTAGCTCTCTTTGTCTTCTGTTTCAAAACAGTTGTTTACTGGGTTATTTAACAGCGCAAGAAAAGTTATTTGAATTTACACCTGTAAATTCCAATATGATACACGCGGGTATTTAAATGTATAATATCTGTTTTGCTTGTGCAATTGCTGAGAATTTTTATAAAAATATTCAAATAAATGCAAATGAATTTCAGTATGAATTTTGCAAGAGAAAAAAAGTTCAATTCAATTTTTGTTTTGAAAATTATCGCCGACAAACGGAGCGAAAGTCGGCCAATGACTAAAAATGTAAACAGAAATTAGCCGCAAAGAATTGTTTTAATTAATATTTAATTGAAATTGCAAAATTATTGTAGTAAATTTTTGAATACATATTTGTTTTGATAGATTGAATAAGTAACTTTCTAAAACCGATTTTCTATTTGATTACAGAGTCCTAGTCACGACTAGGGATTGTGATATTCTACACGGTGTGCCCCATAAATAACCGAACTTTTTGGATATAAAATAAAATGCACATTATATTATCTTTGAAAGTTATTATTTATTCAAAATAGGTTCCCTTTGACTCAACACAACGTTCGGAACGATCAACCAGCGCATGCATAGATTTTTTATGTCATTTATAGAAATGTTCTTCAGTACCTCGGTTAAGGCTGCTTGAATGGCTGGGATATCATCATAAAATAATCCCATGGTGTTAGATCAGGCGAATACGGAGGATGGTCGATGAGAGAAATCCATTTATTCATTAAAAATTCGAGTAATTTTTTGGTCGTCATTCAATTCATGTGGAACAAATCACGTACAGACCTTTCTTTTCCACAAATCTGCAGTTAAAATTCCCCAAATAGTGTTTTTACTCGTATTCATCTCCTCAGCCAAAAAGCTTCAAGTTTGACACAAAATTTTATATTTGCTCTTTGTTCCATTTTATTTTTGAACCATTAGCACACTTTTGGTTTTATTGAAATGGCTGTCACTTTTTCACATCTGTCATCCGACTTAAATGAAGTTAGGAGCGTTTGAAAGAGGAGAAATGTATCTTTTTAATGATGCAAACTTTCAATAGATGGCGCTGTATGTTGTATGATTTAAATATAAAGTTCGGTTATTTTTAGGACACACCGTGTATGTATATAGAAAGTGCAAGAGAGATAATGGAAAGATACAAATAAACAAAATTGCCAAAATTATTTTACGGTCGATTTTATAATTGGAATAAATTTTATATTCGTTTTTCATACAATACATATGTACAATCTCAACATAATTATGTATCAAGCAAATAAATGGTGTAAACACGCAGAAAAACCGTGAAAATGCAAGAAAAAGAGCAGCCAACAATAAAAAAAAAATGAAATCAGAAAGAAAATACGGACAAAATGATAAATAGCTTCATTAAGAAATTACAGTTGCAACACAGTCTGCCGCACGTTCAGCTCCAGCTAATGAATGTCTTGCCGCGGCGTATGCAGCTGCGCGGAAATGCAATGCATTCAAATTAATTTGACAATGGATGGACGGACGGACGCGTGACAGAGTGGCAAATAGTAGCAGCAGCGAAGAGCGAGTAGTCAAATAGCATACGCATGTGAGGCGTGAATGCTCGTATAAGTACGAGTATTTATGTACATATGTTCATACGCACATACATAAATGGAATTTATATAAGCAGAGAGGACATAAAGCAAAAATTCAAGCGCAGCAAATGTCACTTGGATGAAGAGTCACTCACTTTCCAGGTAGTGCATTATGCTGCGCACAGAAATTGACACATGGGACAGGCAGCTAAAAGAAACAGCAACATCCTGAGGGGCAGTATGCAAATAGGAAAATCTCGAATTACAGCATTGCAGCAAAACATAACAAACTAACTGTATATGGTGATGTGACCGGCTACTGGCTATGACAGACGGGCCACCATATTTATGAATGTAAGTGTCCATCAAATCAATCCTTACGTTTTAAGCGCTTATCTACGGAAATATTTTTGCAACCAAATATATATACGTATGTATATAGACATATACAAATACCACTTTCAAGTCAAAATATTAAAGAGAAAAGCTCAATGCGAAATCAAAAAAGAAACAAATAAACCATTGGGAATTTTCCGGCAGAAAAAAAATGTGTCGACAAAAAATATAAATTTTCATATAAAGAAGTCATCACTGGGGATCTGTATGACTGTATGTAGCTGTTCTCTCACATCCGCGTTTACCTTTATATGGATGTACGTTACGTATGGTACGAGTATCTTTGTTTTCCGCTGTGTGAAATTGCGCTTAAAATAGTCCAACACACACACACAATCACGCGCTGACTTTTCGTTGGCGCGTGCATATAAACAACCGGGTGTTGAGGTTGAAAATTACGCACCTTCCCGGTTGACCGCTCATCAACATCTGACCAAGCGACTGACATCTAGGCACACACGAACAGCCATACGAATTTACACGTAACATTGCTTATTTCTTTGTTTTTGCTCTTGTTGCATACAACACTTCCATGCCACATCAGTAACGAACAACCTTTTATTCGCACGTTGCGGCTCCTGAATGGAAAAATAATGCGAAAATAGGAAAGGGGAAGATAAAAGTGCACAAGTTCGTTTTTAAAAAAGGAAAATTTAAAATTACTTAAAATTTAATTTTACTGAAGTAAGTCGCAGCTGAAGGTTTAAAAATTGGCATTCATTAAAATTTAGCAAAATTTTTTAGGTAAGCAACCAAATGAAATTAACAAGATTTAATCGATATACACCGTTT